AGATCGTTAGCGACAGGTTGGCGGGGAAGCTATGGCTGCACCAGCAGGGCTACGCCGACAAGCTGCGTAGGCGCTTCATCGACGAGGAGCAGACCGGGCGCACCCCAAAGACGCCGGTCTCGGTCGACGCCTACGCCGACCTCACCTTCAACGACGAGGAGGCACAGGAGCGACAGGAGGAGGAGTACCGGCAGAAGGTCGGCTCGCTGCAGTTCGCGGCGACGACGACGAGGCCGGGGGAGCAACCAGCATTGGCGCGAGGTCGACCGCTGTCTCGCCTACCTCGCCAACACGCGTGACACCGCCCTGGAGTTCGGCGGTGGACCTGTGTCGCTGGAGCTGGTCCGCTACGTGGACGCCGACGACGCCGGTGACAAGCAGAACAGGACGAGCACGGGCGGCTACGTGTTCGTCTACGAAGGGGCCGCAGTCTCCTGGTCGAGCCAGCGCATCAAGTGCGCGACGATGTCGTCGACCGAGTCGGAGTACGTGGCAGCCACCGAAGCCGGCAAGGAGGGACGTCGACTTCGCTTCGTCCTCGCCGAGTTCCGGCAGCTGGATGCCAGGAAACCGACCGTCCTCAGGGTGGACAACAAGTCGGCCATCACGGTCGCCAAGGGCATGGGGTTGACGGGCAACCTCAAGCACATGGAGCGGCGACAGGCCTGGCTGCAGCACATGGTGAAGCGTGGGAAGTTTTCACTGAAGTACATCCCGACCGCTGACCAGCCGGCCGACTTCCTGACGAAGGCGCTGCACTATCTGGCTTTCAACCGGTGCTCCGTTGCCATTGGCCAGGTGCGATGGGGACAACGACGTGCAGCAGTAGGTGCCATGCCCTCCTGCATGGCTGGTGCGGTGACCGGCGTGCTGTGTGTTGGGTGCACGTCGACGAGCTATTCTCCGAGCACTGATGCCTTGTGGGCTGGGGGCCCAAGCGTTAGTTTCTGCCACTTTTAGACTTAGTTTCAATTCTGGTTCATCTCACGTTCACTATGCAGTTTGTCTCTGCATTGAACACGCCCTAGGTTCAGGTGGGGTTTCCCAACGCTATCTTTCAAATGTCTCTCGACTCTTTCTCTAGTTCAACTTTTCTTCCCTTGTTACTTCACTCACTAGCCATGGCTGCCGCAAACCTAATATTAACATGAACGCGGTGTCGAAGTATATGCATGTTATATATGTGTAGGCTGTAGTGGGGTAGCCAATATGGGGTACAGCCCCTTTTAGGGTTTCATACTTGTACCCAACTCTTTCATAGTTGATTCATTCCTGCTGCTAGATTCTAACATGGTTTCGGAGCACTAGGTCCGTAGGACCGTTTTTTTTCGGGCCCACCTACCGTTGCGGTTGCCGCGCTACCCCACGTGTTGTCCTGCGCCTGCCTGCCTGCCTGCCCTGCCTTGTGACGTGCTGCGCTGCGCGCGCCGTCCTGCAGCCCTCGCGCTGCCTCCTGCTGCCCTAGGCCAGCGCGCCGCCCCTGCAGGCCCGTAAGGCCCGCGCGCCGCCCCTGCAGGCTCGTAAGGCCCACGCGCCGCCTCTACAGGCCCGTCAGGCCCACGAGCCGCCCCTGCAGGCCCGTCAAGCCCACGAGCCGCCCCTGCAGGCCCGTCAGGCCAGAACGCAGCGCCGCCCTGCCTCTGACGCGGCTGCGCCCAGCCTCTGACGCGGCCGCGCCCTGCCTTCGATGCGGCCGCGCCCTGCAGCCGACGCGGCCCCGCCCTGCCTCTGACGCGGCCGCGCCCTGCCTTCGACGCGGCCGCGCCCTGCCTTCGACGCGGCCGCGCCCTGCTGTCGACGCGGCCCCGCCTTGCCTCTGACGCGGCCGCGCCCTGCCTTCGACGCGGCCGCGCCCTGCCTCTGACGCGGCCGCGCCCTGCAGCCGACGCGGCCGCGCCCTGCCTTCGTCGCGGCCGCACCCTGCTTTCGACGCGGCCGCGCCCTGCCTCTGACGCGGCCGCGCCCTGCATTACGCGGCCCCGCCCTACCTCTGACACGGCCGCGCCCTGCCTCTGACGCGGCCGCGCCCTGCCTCTGACGCGGCCGCGCCCTGCAGCCGACGCGGCCCCGCCCTGCCGCCGACGCTGCCCTGCCCGGACGCCGACGCGGCCCCGCCAGCCCTGAAGCTGACGTGGCCACGACCTGCCGCTGACGCGGCCCCACCCTGTAGGTGCCGCGGCCCTACCCTGCAGCTCCTGCTGCGGCCCCACCGTCGCCGCCGTCGTGCGCCTTCCCTGCCGCCGCCCGCCGAGCGCCGGCCCTTCCCACCACTGGTGAGCACCTGCCTTGTTCGCGCACTGCCGCGCCCTCTGCCTGCCTGCCTGCCTGCCTGCCCGCCTGCCTGCGCCTGCCTGCCTGCCGCGCCTGCCCTGCCCGCGCTGCTGTTGCTACTACTGCTACTGCTGCTACTGGCGTTGGCCAGATGCAGCTCCAGCGACGTCCGCGTGAGTCCCTCACGCCCCGGTGAGTGGTACGCTAGTTGCGGTTGTAGGGGTGGCCGCGCTGCTACTGCTGCTACTGCTGTTACTGCTGCTACTGCGGCTACTACTGCTACTGCTGCTACTGGCGGTGGCCAGATGCAGCCCCAGCGACGTCCGCGCGAGTCTCTCACGCCCCAGCAGCTTCGTGAGTGGTATGCTCAGAGTAGAGGGACTTTGAGTACCGTTCGCTGCCCGTATGTCATTCGTACAGGTGATCGGACTGGTCAGGCTTGCGGGACGCTTAGTCACACACAGCTCCGCTGCTTCGCCTGTCTGAGCGACGCTTGGCGTACCGAGTTTGGCGACGAGGCTGAGCTCCCCACCTGGCTGGAGCTGCTTGGACAGGGGGTAGATATCTTTGCTTTTGACTATGATGCTATTCTCACTGCCATGTATGCATTGCCTACTAGTGCTGACCGTGTCTGTTACCTGTGCGTACCGCCTGACCCAGGTATAGAGCCTGCTGTTCTAGGTGCTGGTGAGGCTGCTGCTCTAGGTGCTCGTGCGTCTCCTGCTCTAGGTGCTGGTGAGGCTGCTGCTCCAGGTGCTGGTGAGTCTGCTCTCTCTGGTACTGCGCCTGCTGAGGCCTTGTACACCTTCACACTTGACTCCGGTGCTTCTCGCTCCTTCTTTCGCAACAGCACCACCCTCACGCCGCTCAGTCGGCCGGTTGCAGTCTCCCTGGTAGACCCCTCTGGGGGTCCAGTCCGTGCGACCTCCACCACTGTCCTCCCTTGTCCTGCTGTCCCGTCCGGCACACTGTCGGGTCTTTACCTCCCCACGTTCTCTACAAACTTGGTGGCGGGTTCTGCGCTCCAGGACGCGGGTGTTCACCAGTTCACCCCTGCCTACGAGCGTGTGACACACTGCACGTGTGCTCAGACGGGTCGTCACCTGGCTACCTTCACTCGGCAGCCGGGGTCGGGCCTGTACACACTGACCACTGGGTCCCGTCAGGTAGCTGCGTCTGCGTCTGCGTCAGGTCAGTTGTCGGCCCCCTGCTCGTGTCGCGCCTTGTCGCACCAGACCCTCCTTTGGCACCACCGCCTTGGTCACCCCTCGGTGCAGCGCCTTCGTGGCATGCACCGCCGTGTCCTTGTCTCTGGTCTTCCCAGGGTTCTCCCTCCCCTCCCACCCTCGCCTGCTCCTCCCTGTCTTCCATGTGTCAAGGGGTGGCAGCGCGCCGCTCCTCACTCCTCCTCGTTCCCTCCCACAGAGGCTCCCCTGCAGACTCTCCACCTGGACGTGTGGGGCCCAGCCCGCGTCCGTGGACAGGGCCACGAGCGGTACTTCCTGCTGGTCGTCGACGACTACTCGCGTTACACCACGGTCTTCCCCTTGCGCACCAAGGGTGAGGTCCCTGATGTTTTGATCCCTTGGATCCGCGCTACTCGTCTCCAGCTCCGCGAGCGGTTCGGGACGGAGTTTCCCGTCCTGCGTCTGCACTCTGACAGAGGTGGGGAGTTTTCCTCCGACCTCTTGGCAGCCTTCTGTGCGGAGCACGGCATCCGCCGGACGTTCACGCTTCCGGCCTCTCCGCAGCAGAATGGGGTTGCTGAGCGCCACATTGGCTTAGTCATGGAGGTCGCTCGTACCTCCATGATCCATGCGGCTGCCCCCCATTTTCTGTGGCCGTTTGCCGTCCGCTATGCCGCGCATCAGCTCAACCTCTGGCCCCGTGTCTCCTTGCCAGAGACCTCGCCCACACTGCTGTGGACGGGGAAGGTTGGCGATCCGTCGCGTTTCCGGGTCTGGGGTGCTCGTGCCTTTGTCCGCAATACTACCGCGGACAAGCTCTCCGCCCGCGCTGTTCCCTGTGTCTTCCTTGGCTTTGTCCCTGACGTGCCTGGTTGGCAGTTTTACCACCCCACCTCGCGCCGTGTCTTCTCCTCTCAGGACGTCATGTTCGACGGGTCGGTTCCCTTTTACCGTCTCTTCCCCTATCGCACTGCCCCTCTCCCCCCCCCGCCGCTCTTCCTCGCTCCAGGTGCTCCCCAGGTAGACCCCCTCCCCGCTTGCGGTCCTGCTCCTTCAGGTGTGTCTCAGGTAGACCCTCCTCCCTTGACTGAGCCAGTTGAGGTCACTATGACTCAGGTCCTGCTGAGGGTGGTCCTGCTCGGGGTGCTGCTTCTGGGGGTGCTGAGCCAGGGGGTGCGGAGCCTGGGGGTGCCGAGCCTGGGGATGCGGAGCCTGGGGGTGCGGAGCCTTGGGGTGCTGAGCCTGGGGTTGCGGAGCCTGGAGGTGCGGAGCCTGGGGGTGCGGAGACTGGAGGTGCTAAGCCTGGGCGTGAGGAGTTTGGGGGTGCTGAGCCTAGGGGTACTGAGTCAGGGGGAACTGCACCTGGGGGCGCTGAGGCGTCTGGTGAGCAGTCTCCCTGGGGCGCCGCTGGTACCTCGCCGCTGCACTCTCGTCGTCGACTCCCTCTCTCCCCACAGCAGCTGCGTGAGTGGTACGTTGGCCGTCAGGATCGCGCTGCTAGAGCTAGGGGCCCTGCTGCGGGAGGCACTGGAGCTGGTGACTATGCTACTGGAGTTTTTTCTGCTGGAGGTTCTGGAGCTGCTGAGGGTGTTGGAGCTGGAGGTTCTGGAGCTGCTGAGGGTGCTGGCGCTGGAGGTTCTGGAGCTGCTGCAGGTGCTGGCGCTGCGGGTTCTGAGTCAGCTGTTACGCGGTCTCCTTGGAGTGGCCGCCTTCGTCCGCGTGTGCCTCTCACCTCACAGCAGCTGCACGACTGGTACGGTCGCCGTCAGGGTCGCGCTTCTGGAGCTCAGGGCTCTGCCGCTGGAGGTACTTCTGCTGGCGTCACAGGAGCTGGGAGTGGTCCTGGTCCCAGAGGTGCTCGTACTGGAGGTACTGGAGCTGCTGGGGCTGGAGGTGCTGAGCCTGAGGGTGCTACTGCTGGAGACCCTGGGTCTGGGGGTGCTGCTACTGGAGACACTGAGGCTGGAGACCCTGGGACTGGAGGTGCCGGTTCTGGGGGTGCTGTTGCAGGTGGAGCTGGTCCTGTAGGAGCTGGCGCTGAGGGTTCTGGTTGACTTTGCTGCTGCCTGTCATCTAGACTACGCTGCTAGTCTTGTTGCTGAGTCTGAGTCAGTCTGTCCTCCGTCCGTCGAGGGTGATTGTGCTCTTGGCACTGACGTCCTTGAGGATAGGCAGGAGGACCTTGAGTGTCTTGGAGCCGCTGCGCCTCATCTCGTGTCCATGCTGCTTGCCCCTGAGGGAGACCCGGATGCACCAGACATCCCGACCCCGCGCTCTTACGCTGAGGCGATCGCGGGTGAGTACTCCTCTCAGTGGCAGACAGCCATGGACGCAGAGATGGCATCCTGGAAGTCCACAGGCACTTACGTTGACGAGGTTCCCCCTCCTGGGGCGAACATCGTCAGTGGCATGTGGATTTTCAGGGTGAAGCGGCCGCCAGGTTCTCCGCCTGTCTTCAAGGCTCGTTACGTTGCTCGAGGTTTCAGTCAGCGAGAGGGAGTAGACTTCTTCCAGACCTTCTCCCCCACCCCGAAGATGACCACTCTTCGGGTGCTGCTGCACGTTGCCGCTCAGCGTGACTACGAGCTTCACTCTCTTGACTTCAGCACAACTTTCTTACAGGGCAGCCTGCACGAGGAGATCTGGCTGCGCCGCCCTCTTGGCTTCACTGGGTCGTTCCCTCCGGGTACCCAGTGGAGCCTCCGGCGGCCGGTCTACGGTCTCCGCCAGGCACCACGTGAGTGGCACGACACACTGAGGACTACACTTGCGGCTCTTGGGTTTGCTCCGTCGACTGCTGACCCGTCGCTGTTTCTGCGCACCGACACGTCGCTGCCGCCGTTCTACATCCTTGTGTACGTCGACGACTTGGTCTTTGCCACTGCTGACACTGAGGCTCTCGCCCTGGTGAAGTCGGAGCTACAGAAGAGACACACGTGCACAGACCTGGGTGAGCTGCGCAGCTACCTTGGCTTGCAGATCACCCGGGACAGAGCACGCCGCACCATCACACTGACTCAGTCACACATGGTGCAGCAGGTCCTTCAGCGCTTCGGCTTCACTTGGTCCTCGCCACAGCACACTCCTCTGGCTACAGGCCACTCGCTCTCAGCTCCACCTTCGGACGAGTCCGTAGAGCCGAGTTGCCCATACCCAGAGCTAGTGGGCTGCCTCATGTCCCTGATGACCTGCACTCGACCTGACCTTGCGTACCCTCTTGGCCTTCTGGCTCGCTACGTGGCTCCTGGTCGGCACCGAAAGGTGCACATGGATGCTGCGAAGAGGGTACTGCGCTACTTGTGCGGTACATCAGGCATGGGGCTCGTGCTTGGAGGGCGGAGCGCAGTTGTCCTCACTGGGCACTCAGACGCTTCTTGGGTTGACGACCTGGCTACGCAGCGGTCGTCACAGGGTTACACCTTCAGCCTTGGCTCTGGTTCAGTTTCTTGGCGTTCTACACGCTCGTCTTCTGTTCTCAGCTCCAGTTGTGAGGCTGAGATCTACGCTGTCAACATATGTTTTATATGTTTACTTTATGTTAGTCTAGGTGTACCCTTTCATATTCCTAGGGTTAGCTATATCTTCTTGTAACTCTTTTCCCTTAGTCAATCTTTTCACCCGTTCTAGTTTCGACATGGTATCAGAGCTAGTCGACCCTATGGGCCCACCGCCCCGTGCCCCGACCTAGGAACGTAGCCACTTAATACCCGAAGCGCCCTGACACTCCCCCTTAGCTTGCGCGTCACCCGTAGTGCCCTGAGCGCGTCATCCGTTTAGCCCAGAGCGTCACCCGTTTTTCACCCGCGCCTCACCCGTTTTCTGCCCCGTCCGTAGCTCGCCAGCCCGCTAGCGCGCAGCAGGCCCATGCGCACGTGCAGTCGTAGCCGCACATGCGACTGCGCGCACGCGCAGCATTAGCCACACGCACGTGCAGCATTAGCCGTACGCACGTGCAGCATTAGCCGTACGCACGTGCGGCATTAGGAGCACGCACGCGCGGCATTAGCAGCATGCACGCGCGGCCATAGCTGCACGCACGCGCAGCAATAGCCGCACGCACGCACAGCCCGTCAGCTGCGCTACCGTCTCACCCGTCCCCGCTGACCCACCTGGTGCCCGCTGTACCACCCGTTCCAGCCGCCCCACCAGTTACTCTCCCCCCGCCCAGAACCGTACAGCACCGCGGAGAACCGCACAGAACCGTGCGACATCGCCTAGAACCTTACCTGCTGACCCATCCGCACCAGCCAGAGCTGCTACCTCACCCCGTACTCTCCCCCGCACAGAACCGCGTAGCACCGCACTGAACCGTGCAGAACCGCGCAGAAGCGGGCAGAACCGCACAGAACTGCGCAGAACAGCAAAGAATCGTGCGGCGCCGCCCAGAACCTTACCTGCTGACCCACCCACACCAGCCAGAGCTGCTACCCCACCCGGTACTCCCCCTCGCACAGAACCGTGCAGCACCGCACTGAACAGAGCAGAACCGCACAGAACCACGCAGCACCGCACAGAACTGCACCCGCTGCCCCACCTGTACCAGCCAGAGCTGCTGCCCCACCCGGTACTCACCTCGCACAGAACCGCGCAGCACCGCACTGAACCGTGCAGAACCGCGCAAAACTGGGCAGAACCGCACAGAACCACGCAGCACTGCACAGAACTGCACCCGCTGCCCCACCTGTACCAGCCAGAGCTGCTGCCCCACCCGTTCCCGTCACCACACCAGTAACCAGCCGCCATCCACCTCACTGAACCACCTGGTACCGCTCTCAAACGTACTAGACCCCACCCGAGCGTGCCCGTTCATTGCCCTCGCGCCAGGGCCTCCTCCCATGGCCACTTCTCGTATTCTCACGTTTGATCCTGAGGGTAGGCCGGTAGACTTCCCAGGATGGCTCCGCAAACTCAAGCTTTTCCTAGGGAGTAGGATCGAGAACGACGTTCGCCTTCTGGACCATGCCACGGGCAAACTCGTAGCCCCGAAGGAACCTGACCCCTTAGGTTCCTCCCCGTCGGACGAAGAGGAAGCTCGCTTTGAGAAGCTGCAGCTAGCGGCCAGTCGGTGGGCGGCGCGGGACGACGCCACAGTGCTCGCCATCACCGATCTCCTGCCCCTGACAGAGCAGCAGCACTTTGAGCAGGAGGTGACGGCCAAGGGCCTGTTTGATGCTGTCGTCAAACGTTATTCCACCCCAACCACTGCTTCCCTCGGCCGGCTTGTACTGCCCTTCCTATTTCCTGACCTGCCCTCGTTTCACCGCGTCCCTGATCTTCTGCTGCACTTGCTCTCGCTTGATGCCCAGCTCCGTTCTGCTGCCCCTGATGATGCCCTACTTGCCGCCAACCCCCCCCCCGATGTGGATGACACTGTACCTGCTGTCCACCCGCCTCCCTGACCGTTTTGCCACAGCCCGTGACCACTTTCTCACTGTTAACCCCATGTCCCTCACCATTGACCTCTTTGAGAAGAGGCTCACTACTGTTGAGGACCTTGCCCGTTCCCTTGCTGCTGCCTCCGGTACTGCCCTCCCCCCCATCTTTGACGGTTGTGCGCCGTCCTTCCTAGCTTCCCCTGTCGACTCGGCGTCTGTTGCCACTGCACCAGAGGTGGCAGCCGTTGCCCTTGGCAACAAAGGGGGCAAGAAGGGGGGTAAGAAGGGAGGCGGTGGTGGCAGTGGTGGGGGTGGCGGAGGGGGCGGTGGTGGGGGTGGCGGAGGGGGCGGTAGCGGGGGTGGCGGAGGGGGCGGTGGTGGGAGTGGCGGAGGGGGCGGTGGTGGAGGTGGCGTAGGGGGCGGTGGTGGAGGAGGTGGAGGGGGTGGGAGTGGTGGCGGAGGCGGAGGAGGAGGCAGTGGAGGTGGAGGTAGTGGGGCTCCCCAGCAGCAGCAGCCACAGCAGCAGCGGCAGCAGCAGTTCCAGGGCCAGCGCCACCAGACGCAGCCGCAACAGTGGAGATCGCCTGGACCAGGGAGCTCTGCCAGCAACAGCGGCCCGCCCAGCTGGACGTCGCGTGGTCCAGCCCAGCACCCCCCTTGCCAGTATCGGGTGCAGACTGGGCCACGTGGCGGCTACCCCTGTGGCCGCTTCCACCCCCCGGGTCAGTGCTTTGCACAGCTTACTGACCGCTACCGTGCGCAGTTTGGCCCCTCCCGCAGTGTCCCCGATTGGGCCTCACTGGCTCGTTCTATTGGCCCGCAGTTGTATAGCATGACTGCACCTCAGTTAGATGAGGCTGTGCGTTCTGTGTCTGTGATGTATGCCGATGACTCTAGTGTTGATGATTATGCGTACTATTCTTGTTTCTCTAGCTTAGGTGCTGTAGAAGTTGCCAGTGCTTTCCCTGCTAGCGTAGCTTGTCCAGGTTCGACCACCGAGACTGCGTCCCTGTCGTTTACACTCGACTCTGGGGCGTCCAGCTGTTTCTTTCGTGACCGCGCCGACCTCACACCACTACGCACTCCCGTCACTGTCGCCTTGGCCGACCCCTCTGTAGGACATGTGGTTGCTCACACCACCACCACTCTCCCGTGTCCGGCTTCTCCCACTGGGGCCCTTACAGGTTACTACACCCCCTCGTTCTCTCGGAACCTGGTGGGTGTCAGCCACCTCCACGACCTCGGAGTAGTCACCACTTTTCCCTTAGAGGAGTCAGTTGCCTCCTGCACAGTCGGTACCACAGGGGCCCCTCTGGCCACCTTTCACAGGGAGCCGGGCTCTGGTCTGTACTCACTACACACTAGGTCCCACCACACTGGGTCAGGCCTGGTCAGGTCAGGTCAGGTAGCCGCTGTGTCGTGTGACTGTCGCTCCCTCACCCACCCGTCGGTCCTCTGGCACCACCGTCTAGGTCACCCGTCGTTCCCACGTCTCAGTAGGATGGCACGTCACCGTCTGGTCTCAGGTCTCCCAGCGTCGCTTGCCCCGCTTCCCCGCTCGTCTGCGCCGCCGTGCACTCCTTGCGTCGAGGGTCGGCAGCGCGCTGCCCCTCACTCCTCCTCGTTCCCCCCCACCACGTCTCCCTTCGAGACCCTGCACTTGGACATCTGGGGCCCCT